AAGACCATGCATACTCACACACACACACACACACACACACACACACACACACACACTCTCTCTCTCTCTCTCTCTCTCTCTAATGGTATGGAAGGACACTGCTTTCCTGGGGTTATGAAGCTTTGAGTATCTTTCCAGAAGGAGTGCATGAACATCCATATCATAACCTTTTTAAAACTGACAAAAGGGTTGAAAATGCATGCACATGCATGTGCGCGCGCACGCACACACACACACACACACACACACACATCATACATGCACACACATCTGCATCTGTTTTACCCTAACTTTAAATTTTGGAGAACTTTACACATTGGTACAAATAACTTTACATGATCCTTTGTAGCAGGAACAAAATATTGTACCTTTAACAAAACGAAGACAAAAACCATCCAAGTCTCCAGTCAATGGCTTTCAAATTTTGTTTTCAGTGTCGTGTCAGTACCACAATAAATATCCTTCTTGTATGTATATTTTATATACTTGTTTGGATATACCCATGGGGTAAATTCTGGGTATTGAAATATCTGGATCTCTTATATTTTAGAATTTGATATTTAGTGCTATTTCTAGCTCAAGTGTGTTTGACCATACACAAGAAGATCAAATATTACTAAACTTAAAAAAAAAAAACCCAAAGCAAAACCCCAAATCCAACTTCTCTAACTAAATCCATGAAACTGACACAAAATCCCCTCAAAATAGCGTGAGAATAGAAAGCTCGCTGTCAGCACCAGTCATAGATGATAAGTAGCAGCCAGCCATGAGCCATGGGAAAAGCAAAGGAACCTAAAGTGGAGGATGAGATCACACAGTCTCCAAGACAAAATACTGTGATTAAGTCGTCCCAGCTCAAGGTGACCTTGGCCCGGTAGACCCGACCTGGGACATAAGTTCCTCACAGGTAATCTCAATACATAGTCAAGTCCCAAAGGTGAATGGTGCTCTGCTCACCCTAGAGACGGGCGGCTCTTGTCTATTGAAAGTGTATCTGTAGCAGGTGCTGGAACTGTATGTGCTGCCACGACTGAAGTCAAAGCAGGAGAAAAGCTGCCAGCTCTGCCTCTGTGTATCCGTCATCGTTCCAGGCCATTCTCGCCAGTCGCTTTGCAGTCGCCTCCAGTTCCAGGAATGATAGAAGTGACCCATACCTTTGTGACATGGGACTGAAAGGACCCCTCAGAACAGCAGAGCCTTGCAGGACAGGACACCTCCAAATGCGACAATGACCTACATGATCAGTCTGCACCTTGAGCTAGAAACCAATTAGTGGTGACCAGATGATGATAGTGATCATCAGATCAGATGATGATAGTGATAACAACTTCTCTAGAGACTCCGAACTAACAACCAGCCAAGCCACACTATAACTGCGACTCAAACTAGTCATGCCTTTGTCTCCTGCCCCTAATTCTTTTTACTAAGCCTAACACTCAGGTCTGTGCCCCAAAGACGGCTGGAGATTAAAAGATAAAGTGCCATCTTCCTGTGGCTTCATGCCACATAATGATCTTTCTTAGCTGGGTGCTGGTGGTTCATGCCCATAATCTCAGGAGGCTGAGATCTGAGGATCACAGTTCGAAGCCAGCTCAGGCAGGAAAGTCTGAGAGACTCTTATCTCCAATTAGCCAGAAAAAGAAGGAAAGTAGAGATGTGGTTCCAGTGGAGAGTACCAGCCTTGAGTGGTAAAAGCTAAGGATTAGCCCCAACGCCCTGAGTTCAAGCCCCAGTACACAGCAGTGCACGCCTGCGTGTGTGCACCCCCCCAAATCTCTGCCATTTCCCCCGTTTCCCTTTCCTCATGTATGTTTCCTATACCGGGATTCTTTTCTCACTGGACAGCAGCTCTAACTCTCGGGTGATAATAGATACATCCCTAAGACTAAGAAAACATTGGCAAATGGAATCAGTGCAGAAATAAGAGAAATATATAATAGCCCAAGTCAGGTATAAGTATCATTTGTCACATTAATAGATTAAGTCGCATGAAGCTCACTTTGTGAGACTCTCCTATTTGTGAGACAACTCGAAATGCTTCGTGTGAGTGGATCTCAGGGACCTGTGTGGGAGCTGAGGGAAGTCCTCATCTACCCTCTGGTGACACTGCCATGTCCAGCTTATTGATTGAGCTGGGTCTCACAATCTGCCCAAGCTGTCCTCAAACTGCAGTGCTTCAGATTTCTGTCTGCCGAGTAGCTGAGATTGCAGGCATGAGTCACATGCCTGGCCGCACACAACCTTTTTAGAATAAGACAGCTTTGTAAATTTTCCAGGTTAATACTCATGACACAAATTAATTTTTACCCACTAGCAACAAAGAGTTATGTGCTAATTGTGTGTGTGTGTGTGTATGTGTGTGGTGGTTGTGGGGCTTGAACTCTGGGCCTGGGTGCTGTCCCTCAGCTCTTTGGCTCAAGGCTAGCGCTCTACCACTTGAGCCACAGTGCCACTTTCAGTTTTCTGGTTAAGAGTCTCACGGACTTTCCTGAATGGGCTGGCTTTGAACTGCGATCCTCAGATTTCAGCTTCTTGAGGAGCTAGGATTACAGGCATGAGCCACCAGCGCCTAGCATGTGCTAATTTTTGATAGTAATAAATGTAAGGAACTTAGGAATCCATTTAATGAGAAAAAAAGGATAAAACTATTAGAAAATATTGGAGGTCCAAATAAAAATGTAGCTAGGAATGTGGCTTAGTGGTAGAGTGCTTGCCTAGCATGCATGAAGCCCTGGGTCCGATTCCTCAGTACCACATAAACGGAAAAGGCCAGAAGTTGCACTGTGGCTCAAATGGTAGAGTGCTAGCCTTGAGCAAAAGCAGCTCAGAGTGCCCTGGCTTTGAGTTCAAGTCCCAGGACTGGCAAAGCAAAAACCAAAAGCACCATGTTTATCAGACTGGAGTACACAGTATCATGATACTGATTTTTCTCAGGTAGAATTATAGATTTAATCAAAACTAGTAAAAACCTTGACAGACTTTAATGAAACTTGATAATCACTTCTAAAATGTATACAGAGCATAAAAGCATGAAGCAGGCATGGCACTGCTAGAGAAATCAAGGGAGAACACTTGCGCTAGCAGGTGGCCAGGCTTATTTTCAGTGTGGTTGTAACTCAGTGATAGACACTTTAGGACAGAGTGGAGCGTCAAGAAACGGACTTTCCAGTGTAGTTTCCCTCCCTCCCTTCCTCCTTCCTCAATACAGGGTCTCACTTACTATGTAGTTCATGATCCTCCTACCTCTACAGCCTTCTCTGTGCTGGGATTACAAGTTTGCACCACCATGCCCAGCTTAGTGTTTTTCTTTTCTTTTCTTGGTGCCAGTACTGGGGCTTGAACTTAGGGCCTTGCATCCTCCCTCGGCCTTTCTGCTCAATGCTGGCATCCTATCACTTGTGGCACAGCTTCAGCTTTTTTCCTGGTTAACTGGAGATAAGAGTCTTTTAGATTTGTTTGCCTGAGCTGGCTTTGAACCTTGATCTTCAAAGCTGAGCCTCCTGAGTAGCCAGACTCTCAGGGGTTAGCCATCAGCCTCCACTGTCATCATTTTCTCACTCGGAAGCGTTAATCCATGCACATGTCTCACTGGGTAAATTGCCTGTTTAAATTCTTTGGTCTTCTTTATCATGCATTCTTCATGATTTATAACTTTGCGTATTTAGGGAAATTACCCTTTTTATGTCCTATGGGCCAGTGGTAGTCGTTCAATTTTTGTTAATAAATTCTCAATTGGGGGCTATCAGGCCTAGAGGGCTTTCCCTCTTCTAAGACTGATTATGTAAATCCTCTTCAAATACTTTAATCATTTTATTTCATGTTTACAAGTTGATTTGTTCAGAATCCCTATCACCCAAGGAAGCAGGATTCAGCTTATCCAAGTGGCCACCCAAGGATTTCATTAAGAACAGGCCACAAGTCGCCGCTAACCTGGACTGCCACTGTAACTGTATTACCTTTCTCTGTAATTTGTCACCTGCTGGGCTCCCCACGGTAGTTTTAAGGCTGGGTCTGTGAAGGCAGCTCCTCATGCTTTGCTGGAGTTACCTGCTCTTCTCTACAGAACTCATTGTCAAGTTCAAAAACAAACTTGATTGGCATTTTTCTTTGGGTGCCAGTACAAGGGCTGAAACTCAGGGCATGGGCACTATTCCTTAAGCCTTTTCTGCTCAAGGCTGGTGTTCTACTACGTGAGCCACCGTTCCACTTCCAACTTTTTGCTGATTAATCGGGGATTAGAGTCTCATACTCTCCAGGCTGGCTTGGAACCACAATCCTCAGATCTCAGCCTCGTGAGTGGGCAGGGTCACCGGTGTGGGCATGGGGGCTGGCGTGGCTGGCGTTGGAACCGACTGCATTTAGATGCAGGAGTGAGCAGGACCTCTCTTGGCAAGCTGCCTTTGGGCCCCACTCAAAGGCTCACTGGAGTCTTTGTGGCCCCAGAAAGGTGGCGAGATGGTGAGCAACACCAGGTATGGGTTCCCACCGGCTTCACCGCGGGGCAGGACAGAGGCCGGCTCCCGGGGCCACCTAACCAAGGCTCTGGCCAGCTCCCCACACTCCGCTGAGAATGCGACCTTCTGGCTATTATAGATGCAGCAGAATGGTGGATGTAATTGGCCGGACATGGTGGGGAATATGATCGCGTCCTTGTGCTTAGCGTAAGGACATGCAATGACATCACCAGCACAAGAACATGCAATGACATCATCAGTGTAAGGACGAACATGCAATGACATCATCGGCTGCGCAGAACAGGGCGGGGGTTTGGCAGCGTGACCTTGAGTGGTCCTCCCCCTGGCTCCACAGCGGCGCTGGAGGTCAGGGGAGGGAAGGAGGGGAGAGTCTTCACGGAACCAGGGAGCCAGTCTCACCCCAGGGCCACCAGCCACGGTGTGCGGCTGCCCCCTGCCCTGTCCCCCAACATCCGCCCTGCCGCGGCCTCCAGAGCCCCCCAGCCCTACCTGGCACCCAGTCCATCTACCACGCTAGACCCCACGTCAGAAGTAGGTTTTTTTTTTAATTTTCTGTAGACACTTCTGAAAAGAGATCTATTAGAGAAAATATACAAAGCATTTAAGAGTCTCCTCTCCAGAGAGCAACCCAGTCTAACTGGGGGCGTCGGAGCCTCTCCAAGGCTTGGGGTTCAGGACAGTTAGCATATCAGACATCAATAAAACCATGCAAAAAGTGAGAAGGTAAAGGAAAAGCATCACCCCAGAACGAGGGGGCAGGAGGCACAAGTACCAGGCACCCCCATGGCTTCCACCGGCACCGCGCACTGCCCAGGCCCTCAGCTGACACCTCCGCCCCCCCCTCTGCACCCCCTGCTGCTCCCGGCTCAGTGGTAGGGTCCCACATGTGCTCCCGTGCCAGGTCGGGGCCCGGGCTCAACTCTTTGGTTCCACTCAGAGAACAATTGTGCTTGGCCACCTCTCCCAGCCTGTGCCCCAGGCTCCTGCCAGGGGCCCTGGTCGGCCACCCCCCTTTGTGCTGTGGCAGGCCCGTTCCTGGCCACACCCCTCTGTCCCCACAACTCTGGACAGTGGGGGACGTGTGCTTGCAAGGTCTAAGCATTTCTGGGCCTTCCCAACCGTACAGAACCGACCCCTGGCGACCCCCGCCATCCCCCCTGCCCTGCCCAGGCCTCCCGTGCCTGCTCCTCCCTCTAGCTCCTCCCCTCGGCCCAGATACTGGGGAGCTGACTTTAAGATGACAGGCCACAGAAAACCATTCTGGATGTCCCCTCTGACCCCGCCCTCTGGGAGGCCAGCTAAGGCTCGGCCTCGGAGGTCCTGGTCCTGGCACAGGGAGACGGGCAGGGCCGGGAGAAAGGGCGGGACTTGTCAGTCTATGCAGAGGTGCCCACGGTGCAAGCTAAGCGAAGGGAGGGAGGGGGACCAGAGAGAGTTGGGGGGGAGAAAGGACGGGGCAGGGGCGGGCCCGGAAGGAGGTGGCCTCACACCACCCCACAGATGAGCGTCTCCACCACGAAGGTGTTCTCAAAATGGCGGATGGCGTTGCAGTTCTTGGCTCCACGCTTGTTGATCCCTAGGAGGAAAAAGAAAGTTTCTAAGAAGTCCAGTGAGGTCTGTGTCCAGGCGCAGGGGGTGGCCAGCCTCTAAGCCACCAGAGACTGTAGGCCCCGGGCGATGGACTGGGGGGGAGGGGGGGAAGGGGGACCCAAGATGCAACAGTGATTCACCCAAAGCAGCACCATGAAGCCATCTCCCAGCTGTGTGACCTTTGGGTGTTACCTAACCTCTCTGCTTCACTTGCCTTGTGTTTGAAAGGGATAATCAGAATAAAATGATGGTGGCAGGCGTGAGTGCAGAGCAACACCTGGCACATGGCAAGTGCTTCATGGTGTTCCCTCGCAGCTGTTCTTGGAGCCCTGGCACAGCTGCGTTAGGCACAGCCAGAGACTGTCTGGGGTGCTGGAGGCGGGGCTGGGGTCGGGGGCGGGGTCGGGGGCGGAGCCGGGGCGGGGCCGGGGCACTCACGCCTGCGTGTGACCCGGCGGCGCAGCCGGTAGGTGTCCTTCCCATTGCACAGGTGGAAGATGAAGGAGCCCAGGGCCTCCTTGTCGCTGACGTGCTCCGTCACCACCATCTCCTCCTGGATGATGTATGTCTGCGGGAGATAGGTCCCTCTCTGCAGAGGGACACAGCTGGGGTCAGCGGCCAGGACGAACCCTCCACCCCCCAGGGTCCCACACAGGCCTTGCTGCCATGCACGAGAAGCCAATGTGCACACGTGCGCATGTACACACACACACACACACACGCACGCACGTGTGCGCGCGCGCGCACACACACACACACATACACACGCACGTGCATGCGCGCGCGCACACATACATACACACGCACGTGCATGCGCGCGCGCGCACACACACACACACACACACACAAACACTGTCGGCCAGAGGCCTCGTGCTGGCCCTGATGTTTGTGGTCAGTCCCTGTCCTCCATCGTGGGACTGAAACACACGACGGGCTCTCGGGCAGCCTGTCCTCTCTGGAACTGCCGGCCGGGACATGAACCGTCCGACTGTGGGGAGGAGGGGGAGGGGAGAGGTGGCTCTGATGAGTGGGGGGGAGGGGGAGGGGAGAGGTGGCTGATGAGTGGGGAGGAGGGGGAGGGGAGAGGTGGCTCTGATGAGTGGGGGGGAGGGGGAGGGGAGAGGTGGCTGATGAGTGGGGGGGAGGGGAGGGGAGAGGTGGCTCTGATGAGTGGGGGGAGGGGAGGGGAGAGGTGGCTGATGAGTGGGGGGGAGGGGGAGGGGAGAAGTGGCTCTGATGAGTGGGGGGGAGGGGGAGGGGAGAGGTGGCTCTGATGAGGGGGGGAGGGGAGGGGAGAGGTGGCTCTGATGAGTGGGGGGGGAGGGGAGGGGAGAGGTGGCTGATGAGTGGGGGGGAGGGGAGAGGTGGCTCTGATGAGTGGGGGGGAGGGGAGGGGAGAGGTGGCTGATGAGTGGGGGGGAGGGGAGAGGTGGCTCTGATGAGTGGGGGGGCAGGACCAGGGTGTGAGGGAGGCGCGAGCAGCCTCCCTGGGCCCAGCCTCCCTGGGCCGCCCACCCTCACAGCAGCCTTCCTTCCCCTGGGCCTGGCCTCCGCACAGGGGTGTGGAGGCGGGAGGAGAGGCTGTAGGGGCCGCTCACCTTCACGTTCATGAGGAGCTCCCAGAAGTTCCGGGGGGGCAGCACGATGGTGGTGTTGAGCTCAATGACGTAGCACTTGTCCAGGGAGATGTCGTGGTAGGCGGTGAGGCCCTGTGCCAGGGAAGGGGTGGGGACACGTCAAGTCTGGGTGCGAGGAGAGGCCTCAGCCCCCCAGGGCCACCGAGCCCTTGGCCTCCAGGGGTGCAGGCTTGAACGCGGGCCGGGCACCGCCTCCTCCTGATCCTCTACGATGATGGGGGGCGACGGGGGAGCCGCTTCCCAGACAGAACAGCACTGGTCTGTGCAATGAGCGCCTGGCTTCTGAGGAAGGCTCCTCCTGGGGCGTGCAAGCGGGAAGGGACAGGGCGGCACTGCTTCCCACCCCTCATCTCACGCACTGGCGAGGCGGGCCAGCCCCAGCACAGCGGGGTTTCAGTGAGCGAGCCAGCAGCGGCGCTCTACCCAGGCTCGCAGGCCTCCACGGCAGAGGGCGAGGGTCGACAGAAACCCTGCAAGGCACTGCACTGGCCGTGACTCACGCCTGCCTGCCATCCCAGCTACCCGGGACAGACTGAGATCTGAGGATGGAGGTTTGACGCAGCCCAGGCAGCCACCTCCATGACTCTTATCTCTCAATAATCACCAAAAAAGTAGGAAGCAGTGCTGTGGTTCAAGTGCCAACCTTGAGCGGAAAAAAGCAGATGGAGAGAGAGGGAGGAAGGGAGGGAGAGAGGGAGGGAGGGAGGGAGGGAGGGAGGGAGGGAGGGAGGGAGAGAGAGAGAAAAGGGATGGGGAAGCCTGGACCTCACTGGCTGACTTCAAAAACAGCCACAGAAGATGCTTATTTAACTAACTAGGAAGGGTATGAGGGAACTTTCTAGAATGCTAGCACATGCCAGTGGAAACCAGTCAGGTGCACATCAGCCGTGGTGATATGCATGTGGGAGCGGGCAGGAGGACCGCAGCGTCGGTGACAGCCAGTGTCCACACGTGTCAGTGGCCAGCACAGGTCCCCAGGGGACCACACTAAGCGAGAAGGGGCAGCAGGGCCCTGGTGCTGTGGTCAGCAAATGCTCCAAGGATTCCTCTTGCTCTGGGTCCTGGGGATGCTCCTCTACTAGGCACCCCAGTTCCCCCGCCAAGAGCTAGCCTCACCCGCTGGAAGTCGTGGATGATGTCTGCAGGGTCCCCCCCGCCGAACTGGGGCACAGGGACATTGATGCGCTCATAGTTCTCCTCGAGGTAGATCTTCACGTCCTCCTCCAGCTCCCTGCGCGTCCGGATCTGGGCGGACAGCGAGTCCTCATACAGCACGCCGCAGTGGAAGAAGTTGTCTCGGGCCAGCTGCACAGGCAGGGAGAGGCGGGCGGTCATGGGTGACGGGTTTGACCACCACTGCCTACTTGTCCCCATCAGGTGTGGGGAGGAGGGAAGGGTGGGTCCCAGGAGCCCAGTTCACTCCCAGGGGATGTGAGATTGTGAGGAAGCCAGCAACCATGGCTCATGCCTGTAATCCTAGCTCCTCAGGAGGCTAAGATTTGAGGACTGCAATTCCAAGTCAGCCTGGGTGGGAAAGTCTGAGACACTTATCTCCAATAAATGGCCAAAAAAGCCTGAAGTGGCGCTTTGGCACAAGTGGTAGAGTGCTAGCCTTGAGCAAAAGAAGCTCAGGGACAGTGCCCAGGCCCTAAGTTCAAGCCCCAGGACTGACAAAATTAAAAAAGAATTGTGAGGACTCAGGTCAAGTGTGGGGCTGGGCGCTGGAGGGGAGGTGTCTAGGCTGTCTAGGTGGAAGACCTCAGTGCCTTGTGTCCCAGTCTGTGAAATATGATGTCTCTCTGGCCTCAAAGTAACAGGGAGGGGAGGGGATGACGTCAGGTGCTTGGGTGGTGGGTGGGTGCTCTGGACAAACCAGAGTTGGACAGGCTGGGGCTGGGTTGGGGAGAGAGACCTGCAGGGAGGGCTGAGGAACTTCTAGGCTATTCCAATGCCTCCTCCATGTCTCCAAGACCTTTCCTAGCCCAGAGACCCTGAGATCCTCAATCACAATGTCTGCCACCCCCATTAAGTGGGTGGAAAGACCACGCTGTCAGTGGGGGGAGGGGGTGTGTGCCATGATTTCTCAGGGAAGCCCCTGATCATAATTCTCTGTCTTGGTGCAAGCTCTCCCTTGGCCATGCAGGGGCCCTGGGGAGCTGTGTGAAGAGCCAGGGGAGGTGGGGGACAGGGCTGGGCCCCACTGTGCTTGCCAGGGGCTGCTCTGAGATGCCGTGCTGCCTTGGAATTGGAGTGGGGAACCCCAGGACTGTGTGAGTGAGGACGGGGTCACCGTGGGCAAAGGCTGGAGAGGAGGGGAGGAGCTGCTAGTCAGGACGGGAGGCTGGAAGGTTTGGGAAGCCGGCTTTCTAGGGACACCCCAAGGTGAAAGTAGTATGGGAACTGAGCTTTCTGGGAGAGTGCCCCAGGACACAAACTCTCCAGTAATTTCCACTGGAAAAACCCGAGTGACAAGAAAATCACAGGCCTAGGGGCGAGAGGTCACCTGAAGCCCTTGCAATACTCGTTTACACGTTTGAGCAACTTTGGATTTCACTACTTGCCGGTCCCACAGGTGGTGACACCCCTTCCTCCTCAGATTGGGGTGACACTGCTTTATGGGTGCAGGGCCCTAGGGGTATGGCTGAGGGTCAGGGCCCAACACTGGCCATGATAAATCTTCTCCTACCCTACCCTCCTATCTAGAGCCCAAATCTTCCCTCCCAGGGTAGAATGAGGCCATCCATACTGCACAACCCCCTCCTTGCATGTGGAGGCTGAGCTGGGGGGAGAGCTCTGACTTCCTTTTCTGCTGGCCTCAAGCTTCTGTTGCTAGTGCCGCAGGTGACACTGCCGGATGAACGCTGCTGCAGTGTTTGGCTCCCAGGACAAAGAGCTCTGGCTGGGGCTGGCATAGGCACCATGGAAGAAGAGCCAGGCAGGAGGGAGGACCCTGTCCTCTGGGTGTACCTGGGCACTGCCCCTCTTCCTGAGCCCTCAGTACTTGGCTCTCCCCTGCTTTTCCCCCTCCCCGTACCCTGCCCGGCTCTCCCTCCCATCCTGGGGCTGCCTCTCTCTACCACCGCCTGCTCCTCACCTGGGCAAGGAAGAAGTATCTGTAGATGTAGACGGAGGCGAAGATGAGGCCCATGAGCAGCACGACCATGCCCATGGACAGGTAGCACACTCCACCCACCGAGCCCCCTTTCTTGGGACGGTGGTGAGAAGGCCGCTCCTCCTGTGAAAAGCAGTGCCGGGTCAGAGGTCAGTCAGGTGTCTAGACTGTCCCTCTGGCCAGGCCCAGAGACCTGGGGGACATGAGAGGATGGCACATGTCTGCCCTGGGGTTGCTGGGTCTCCCCCCAGCTAGAGATACTGAGACCTACCAGGAAGCCAGCTTGAATCACCTCAGCGCTGAGCTCCCCTGTTGTACTGTGTGTATATGTGTGTGTGTGTGTGTGTGTGTGTGTGTGTGTGTGTGTGACCACCACCCAGTTTTTCAACCATAAATCAGGGATGCACCAATATTACCTTCATGATTGAGGAATTTACAGGAATGAGGTGCATCTGGCTGGTTGTGAACCATTGCGCTGGGCAATGGAGTCACGGAAAGCTTTAGAACCAGGGGTGTCAAAACCCCCCTAGAACCGGACCACACAGGGTGCCTGGGAGAGAGCAGCGGGAGATGGGGAGATGGGGAGACGTGGAGTGGGTTCTGATTGCTGGGAGCAGTCGGGCTCAGCGTTGTGGGCAGCGATGGGCACTTGTCCTTGGCTTGGCAGTCATGGACCTGCAGTCTACTGTGCTCAACTCCTCCTCCCTGCTATCCAGCAGTGTCAGGCCAGCTGTCAGAAGCAGCATCTACCAGGGGATGTTTGGAAGCATCTGGAAGCCAGGGAGCTCCCGCCAAGAGGGAACTATGGCTATCAGGATAGGCCAGGCCAGGAGGCTCCAGGAAAAATCCTGTTCTGGGAGCCATATACTTGGGCTCAAAATGGCAGCTGCAGCGTTACCCAACACCAGGCCACGTTATTTCTGGGCTGGAGCACTGAGTGTATGAATAGAAAACTCAAGAAAACTGCTCCACCTGGAGCACTGGACTGCAAGCCAGCTGGATCCAGCTTGGTCATGCCTTCCTGTCCTCTGTCCCTCCCCCGCTAACCGGGCATGGTCCTCACACGTCCTGGGAGACCCCCACAAAGACCCCAAACCTGCCTCTGTCTCCCGCGACTACGGCCAGCCCCTCCCCCACGGGCACAGACACCGCCCCGCGTGAGGCTAGAGGTCAGTCAAGACGAGGCAGGCTGCGAGGAACCCAAGGGGGTCCAGCCAGAAGCCTGGAGCCCATCACTCTGGCTCTGTCAATAGGGGCTGCTCAGTGCTCTCCTGGCCTCAGTTTCCCCATCTGCAAAATGAGCAAGGCAGACTCCACCTGTTTCTTCCGCCCCTTAGCATGGGGAAGGTTGTGTTGGGGACATGGTTCGTGCTGGAAGTTACTCAGGACGAGTGCTTATCTCTCAGGGGAGCACAGGGGGGTCCTGGGCCTGAACTTGAGGGTATAGATGGAGTACCCCAAGGGGTCTGATTCCTTGCTGCTCCGTACCCTCTCTGTTCCCATCTCTAGGCAAAAGCCGGGAGGCATCTGAGAGTCCTGCAAGGTGCATTCCTCAGCGGGCAGCCAGCTCCCAGGCATTGCCCCAGCCCCTGCCCTGCCAGCCCCTTCCCATCTGGCACCTGGCCACACTTAGCTCCGCCCCCTGGAGTGGGGCGGGGACTGCGATGGCTTTGAGTTTCCAGGGGGCAAGCATGAGCGTCTCCAGCCACCCAGGGGCTGCTGCAAATGAGGTGGCAGACTTCTCAGCCTTCTGTTGGTTTTTTTTTTTTGGTGTCCATACTAGGGCTTGAACTTAGGACCTGGGTGCTGCCCCTTAGCTTCTTCACTCAAGGCTGGCGCTCTATTCCTTGAGCCACAGCTCCACTTCCCTTCTGCTTCCAATGGTCGGCAGCGGATCTAGGAAAGGAGTCTGAGCAGGAAACAGGCCAGGCTGCCGGTGCCATCTGTGACTCTTGCCTGGGGCACAATGCACAGCAAAGCCAGATTGTCTCTAGGGGACTGGTGGGTTTGGGGCTGGTGGGGACCAGTGTCAGGAAGGGTTCCGAGCCCCAGCAAGATGCCACAACCTCCCCTAGTCAGGTCTGCCGTGTAAACTGTGACATAGGTTTTGCTGGGATTAAAAGAGACAAAGAGCCCCAGAGCCCTTTGTAGAAGATAAAGCACTCGATAAAAATAGCAGATCTATGGGGCCAGCCCTTCCTTTTTGGTACTGGGCCGCAGACAGCTGTTGAGGCTGCACCATGGCCGCGCTTTTTGCTTCCGAGTTCTGATCATTCAGAGGCACTAGTTTAGGAGAATTGCCCTAAAAAGATAAAATATCCTCACTGGATGGCAAGCTGGAACCTGGGGGCCTGCTCTATGAATCAGGTCACCTGCCCGTGAGGCTAGACCTTCCAGTGAGCCTAGACCTTCCAGTCTCTCTCTGCCTTTCTGCTGCATTGGGCTGGCCCAGCGTCCAGATATGAGGTGAAGGGCTGCGCCCCACACAGGAAGCGGGGCGGGAGATGAGGGAGCACAGGGCAGGGAGCAGGTCAGTGGCCCAGGCTGCGGGAGAATGACCCGATGTGGTCCAGAAGGAGAGAATTCCAGCCGGGACCAGTCACTGGGGATCCTTCACCTAGCTGGGTTGGTGACCAAATCCATTTTGTAGCTAAGGACGATAAAGCAGATCTAAGCCCAGCACCAGTGGCTCACTCCTGCAATCAAGCTACTCAGGAGGCTGAGATCTGAGGATCAAGGTTCAAAACCAGCCTGACCAGGAAAGTGTGTGACTCGTATGTCCAATTAACCAGAAAAAAAAAAAAAAAAAAAGCTGGAAATGAAGCTCTGACTCAAGTGGTTAAGTGTGTCAGCCTTGAGCAAGACAGCCAAGTGAGACCACGCAGGCCCAGAGTTCAAGCCCCAGTAAGTACCTGCACACACAGAAAAAGACCAAGCTTTTTCTATTCTCAATACATTTGGGGGGCATACTTCCTGGAGCTCACCACAGGTCAGGGGTAGGGGAGACTGTCTCTGCAGGAGAAGAAAACCTTTGTGCTCCATGGCCCCTACACCCTCTGCAGCTTTTGTGGGTGCCCCCCCTCTTCAGATCCTCAGCCCAGCAGCCTGGAGCCCCTATTTCTTTCTATAGCTCATAATACTTGGTAAGCATCCACCATCTGGCTCTTCTTTCCAATCTTTTTGTTTTGTTTTTTTTTTCTGGTCCTGGAATTTGAACTCAGGGCCAGGGCGCTGTTCTTGAGCTGCTTTTGCTCAAGGCTAGTGCTCTACAACTTGAGCCACAGCACCACTCTGGCATTTTCTGTATATGTGGTGCTGAGGAATTGAACCCAGGGCCTCATCTGTTCGAGGCAAGCAATCTACCACTGAGCCACATTCCCAGCCCCTCTTCTTTCCAGTCTTATACTTTGTATGTGGTTCCCAGGTCTGTGCATGGAGTAAGTTTTGTTTTTCTATCTACTGTCAGTTCATTTCTTTTTTTGGGGGGGCCCGGTCGTGGGGCCTGAACTCTGGGCCTGGGCACTGTCCCTCAGCTCTTCAGCTCAAGGCTAGCGCTCTACCACTTGAGCCACAGTGCCACTTCCGGCTTTGTTTTTCTTTTTGCTTATGTGGTGCTGAGGAATCGAACCCAGGGCCTCAGGCATGCAAGGCAAGCGCTGTACCACTGAGCCACTTTCCCAGCCCTGTCAGTTCATTTCATAGACTAAAATGATCAGATCCTTCAGCGGGAAGAAAGAAAATGGAACACTTCCCTCCCTCTCCCCTCCCCCCCCCGCCCTGCTCCTGCTCCCCCACACTGAAATGATGGCTCCCTTGTTTGCCTCTACTGACATCTCCTATATACACATGGGTCTCAGCCACTCTGCCACCTTCCTGATGCCATTCCTACCTGCAGAAGCAGGACCCCTCAGCCATGTCAGGACTGGAGGGCTGCGGTGAGCAGGCCAGACTGGAATTCTACCATGTTCCTGCTTATGGACAAAAGTACCAGAGCTGCCTTTGCTAGCAGGACACAACCAAGGCCAAGGTCAAAACCCCAAAGCCTGGAACCCTGCCGGCCCCACGCCCTGGCAGGTGTGATCTCCGGGTCTGAGGATGATGAGGCAGCAGGGAAGGTGCTGGAGTGACCAGTCTTCCTGATGTCTCCACAGCTGCTTCACTGTCAGGCTGGGGACGCAGACCCTGGCAGGTGGGGGGGCTTCTGTTTATAAGTGGGAAAACACTGCATATGGTTCCCAGGCAACGGGCTCTGCGAGCAAAGTATACACAGGCACTTGTGTGGGGCACGTGAGGGGCCTGCAGCCGGGTCTGCGGGCTTCACGGGGCTGTGGCGCTGCTCGTGCGACGCCAGGCACCACTGGCTCACGCCTGTAATGTTAGCTACTCAGGCGGCTGAGATCCCAGGATCACAGAATCAAAGCCAGCCTGGGTAGCAAAGTACGTGGAACTCTTGTTTCCAATTAACCACCAGAAAGCTGCAAGTGGAGCTGCGGCTCAGATGGTAGAGTTCCGGGCTTGAGTGAAAAAGACAGTACCCAGGCCCTGAGTTCAAGCCCCAGGACAGACAGACAGACAGACAGACACACAGACACACAGACACACACAGACACACAGACACACACACACACACACACACACACACACACACGAAATGATTTGACAAAGTCAGGGGCAAATGGGACCCTAAACCCTGCATGTGCCAGCTCCCAGGGAGGGGTCTCCACCATGGTCCCTCAGAGTGTGCCCACATTAACTACAAGCTGATGAATTTACAATCTGTTCTGCTGGGGGAGAGGGGGGCGGAGCAGCCAGACCCACAGACCTCGGCCAGCACAGGCGGAAGGCTGGGGGGCTGGGGTGGCCTCCTCTCACAGCGACTCTATTCCCATCCTTAGCTTTTTATTTCTTCTCCCTGGGCTGCAGACTCGCAGAGGCAAATATGCCACAGGGTTTGTGTGTGGGGAGGGAAGGGGGAGCCTAACTGGGAGCAGGAGGAGGGCTCCTGACCACGGCACAGTGGGCCCAAAGCCTCCTGGGTACACGCCATGTGCTGTGAGGCTCAGGGCCCGCCGCTGGTGGTCTCGCGCCCCTGCTCCGCTCCGGCCTCTGTGCACATCAGGCTCTGCTTGGCTGGCCAGCACATCCTTTCCTGGCCTCTTCCCTGACAGTCTCGGCATCTTCAGAGAACAAAGGCTCAGGAAGGCTGCTGAGCAGCTGGGGAGAAACCTGGGGAGACTGGAGGGAGAAGGGGCGGGGGGAGCCAGGATGTACAATTGGGACTTTTATCAGATCCATTCTTTTTTCTCATTGGAAGTTGACTGACAGCCTGGAATTGTGCAAGGACGGAGGAGAGAACAGATAAGAGAGGGAAGTGGGAAGAGAGGCAAAGCAGAAAAGCCAGTGCATCCGCCCAAACGCGAACATTCCCTGGGTCGGCCAGGAAACCTGAAAGTCCCGGGGATGGACAGGGTTCCTGCTGCCCTTTCTCCAAGGACCTTCTAGACTGGCCCAACCAGCCAACAGGCCTCAGGAGCCCAAAGTGGGCCTCCATGCTGGCCAGATCTGCCCTCCAAGAGTCAGGGGACCCTCCCCCTACCTCTTCTCCTGCCAAGAGCCAGCAGCCAGCCAGCAGCCCAGGGAAAGAATAATCAGGTCCTCAGGTATGCAGGCTGGGGGAGGGGCGACACAAGGGCCTTGAATCCAAGGCAAAAGTCAAGGGGAAAATGACAGAGCTGAGAAGATGGCTGAATCGGGCATAGTTTGACATTCATCTCCCTTTGAAGTTCTCCTGCCTGTGAGCCTGTCTATGTGTGTCCATTCAAGGGGGCATGCATGCCAATGTGTACACACAGCAGTCAAAGGGAAGAGCAAGCCAGCTGCGTGGGGCGTGCAACCAGTGGGCCTCCAGTCTTCCCATTATCTCGGGGTAAATACCTCCTGGGGAAGCTGGGCAGCTGCAGGCCAGTGGGCCTGCCTTGACCCTTCCTCGGCTCACCCAGGCACTTCCTTCCAGCCTCAGGTCTGGGGACAAAATCCTCCTTGTTTCAGTGTTTGCTCAGAAGCCAGGGCGGTCCTTCCTGGGACAGGGCAGTGCTGTAGCCGTCCCTGATTGCTGTCCCCACCCTCTCTGTCCAGCCCAGGCTAGACACAGGTCAAGCAGAGCCCAAAGACCCTGGGTCTCAAATCTGTTCCTTGTATGGTCCTTCCACGTGATTGCCTGTTGATCCTTCTTCCTTTTGAGACCAACTCAGACACCAAGGAGGGTTCTAGGATCACCTCCAGCCCCAGAGACACCGTCTAATAAGCTGCTCTGTGCACTGGCATAAGTACAGGACAAAATCCAGGTGTCCTGTCCTGATAAAGCAGCTTCCGGTCTTCTCACCCTCCTTTTAGCTTCTTGGCCCATCTCTCAGTGCCCTGACAATGGCTGATGGTTTGTCCTGAGCTACAGCTTGGAAATGGGCCTCTGGCCTGCTCTCTCTGCCAGGCCAGGCAGTGGGCAAGGGGAGATGTGCCTGTTGGCCAGCTGGAGCAAGAAGGGGCCTGCAGGAGTGGACTGTCTTGCAAAGTTCCCTATCAAGCCATGACAGGCATAGCCAACACACAGCCCCCAAAGGCTCACTGCACCAGCTCACCGCCTGGACAAAACCCTGTAAGATCACCAATAGACAGCTCTGTCCTCCAAGTGGCAGGATTTGAATTCCTCCCCTGATTTCTAGTGTCTCAAACTTCGCCCTGCCAGGGGAGCGGGGGAGGGGGCATTCAATTCAGCAGGCTCTGAGCCATGACTAACAGCCAGCAGGACAGGACAAGGCTGATATTTCCATCTCATGCTGGGAACAGCGTGAAGAGGGACCATTCAACCTCAAGGGCCTGGTAAAAACCAGAAGCTAGATGTCAGTTACTACCCAAGCCCTGCTGATAGGGGAGATCAAAATAAGCTACCCCAAAATGTGCTGCTTGAGCTTATTTGGAAACGGCTATTCGGAGGGGCTGCAGACAGGGGACCAGCTATGAAAAGCTGTTCTTTTGTCAGAGAGATTTGAGCCCATAGAGAAAATGAAATGAACAGCTGATGCATGATGCGCACAGGCTTTCTCTGAGGTCCCCTTCTTATCTGTCTAGGTAAGATCTTTTCACAGCAGGAAGAGACACCAGGTCTAAGGCCTAGCCCACACTAATGACCACAGGTGGTCTTCAGAAGGCTGTCACCTGGGAAGCTCAAGACCAATTTTAGGTTCTCTCTGTCCCCTATCCCCAAGTATCTGTTCCTGTACACTAGATAGTGTGTGTATGGTGTTTCATAGACAGAAAATTACCAAGTCTCCCCAGGTTCTCAAGAGAATCTGAAACTTCCCACATGGCCATCCTGTCCCACACCATCCGCAGCAGGCTGCCACTCCAGAATGTGCCACTCCTGCCACCCTCAGGGGACCTCTTGGTGGAGGTGGAATCCTATCCTCCCACCTCTGGCTTGATCCATTTCCCCCATTTCCCCTCCCCCCAATCCTGTGGCTCCCCGCTGCGCGGTTCTGGTTCCAGGTTTTAGGCTGCCTGTTCCTGGGAGAAGCAGCTGGGAAGATAAGAAGCCGCTGAGGGGAGGGGAGGAGGCTCGGCCCCTGGCACGCTTTTCAAACGGCAGACCAAAGTCAAGTATGAGATGCTCTGGTCCCTCTGAACTTCAGATACAGGCGGGGCTCCTCTCACGGTGGTACCGGGTGTCAGGAATTCGTGTCATCGCGGCCCCCCACCCCCATGCTGGAGCCCCGGCACCCCTCACTCTGGGTCTCTAATCAGGCTGACACCCACCTCTGAAGTCCCTCTCCAGACACCCCTGGGGGGGGCATCCTTCTCCCCCGACCCCGTAATCCCACAAACTTGCCTTGGGGAGGAGGGTGTGGCCTGGCACTTCCGATGGGAGGGTTGGGGCTTTGGTGCGCCCCCAAATCGCTGGTGTGTGTATGGGGGGGGGGTGTGCGGGGAAGAGCGGCAGCCAAGACACCGCTGCCCAGGCACAAGGGCGCCGGTCGGGCCAGCGCCCCCGGGGACCCGGACTCTGCCCCGACTCACTCCGCGCAGCGCCGACAGGTCTCCTGGGTGGGGAGGGACGCCCACCCCCAGGCCGGGGCTGGGGGGGGGGGGGGACAGCGCCAGCGCCCAGGGCGGCGGGGGGAGTGGAGGGAGGCAGACCGGAGGGGAGGGCGCAGGGGCGGGGAGGAGAGGGGGGCCCGGGCCCCGCGGGGTGCGGGGGGGGGCGGCCCGCACCCCAGGGCCCCGGCTCAGCGGTTCGGTTTATTTCCATTTAATCCCTAAAGTCCACGGCGCGGACGGGCGGCGGGGCTCCGCGGCATCTCCGAGGCGCGAGACCCAGGCCCGCTACCCCGCACCGGCCGGGTCCCGCAGCCCGCCCAGCGCCGGGGAGAACGCCCTCCGGCCGCCCGCCCCGGCCCGCGCTGGGGACCCGACGCCCCCGGCACCCCCACACACTTCGGGACGAGCTTGAGCGCGTCCCACCGGAGGACCCGCCCTCGCGGCGGACCCGGCCTCGCGCCTCGTCCCGGAGCGCTCGGGGCGCCGGAGCGGGGTCCGCGGGGCGCGCCGCGGCTCCTCGCCCGCCTCGCTTACCCGGGCCGGCGTCAGCAGGATCTCGGCGGCCGAAGCCGGCGCCGCGGCCGCGGCCGCCGCCTTGTCGGCCTTGTCGGCCTTGACACCGGCCACCGCCGGCTGGAAGCTGATCTTCACCATGGCTGCGCGAGCCGCGGTCCGCCCGCAGCCTCTGCCCTCGCCGCGGTCCGCGCCGCGGATCCCGGAGCTGCACGCACCGGAAGTCTGGCTCCCGGCCCCGCCCCGCCCTCGGCCCCGCCCCTCCAGACCCCGCCCCGACCCGTCGGCGGCCCCGCCCTCCGCGGGAGGACCGCGTCGCGCCTGCGCCCCGAGGGCAGCCGCGGGTTCGCGCCACACTCAGCTCTTTCAGTCATTGTCATCGCGCGTGGACACATCCCTCTCCCTCGCCGATCGAGCGTCCCTTGGAGCACCCATGTCCTGCCCCATCCCCTTCACTCTGCACCTCGCTTCTGCCCCCCCCCCCCCAGCACCCTTGGGGTGTGCGCCGAAGCCTCCGAGAGAAGCAGGGGCCGCCCTGGTTCTTTCGCTCCCAGTTAGCAGCCACCGGTGGCGGTGAGCGGCTCTGCCCCGCCCGCTGGAGGAGGAGGGGGAGGGGGAGGGGAGGGGGAGGGGAGGGGGAGGGGAGGGGGAGGGGCACCTAGGTGAGGGTGGGATCAGAGGCTTGGGTTCCCATCAGGGGCCCCGCAAAGCCTCGGGGGTGCTGGGAGACCAGGGCTCACGCACCTGGGCAGCGATGGCCACAGGGCCCTGCTCTTTCCCCAGTCCCGGCCAGGCAGTACACAGCACCCAGCAACCCACAGGCGGCCTTGGCTCTGCTGTTGGGTGGGCGGTGGGAGGAAGGAGTCTGCCAGCAGGCTGAGGCCGGGCCACTGCCCTCTCCCTATCGGTCGGGTCCTGGGCAGCTGCCTCGGCCCTAGATCTGGACACACTGGCTCAGATCTTGAACGTGGCCAGCAGCTTTGCCGACAAACAGGTCGAGGAGGAAGACAAATCTCATTGCTCCTAAAGCCACCACTGTCTGGTAGGACCTGGAGGGATGGGAGGGGGAAGGGCAGGGTTTGAGGAAGATGACTGAATTTGGAGAGGAAGGTGGCGGGACTGAAAAACCCCCGACTTCGGGTATCTCCCAAATCAGGACCTCCCTGCCCCAAGCACCAGTCAGACGGCACCAGATGCAAAGGCAAGAGGATTTTATTTGGGCATGCCCAGGCTCCCAGGTGCACGTGACCTCGAGATCCGCAAGGTTCGGGTCAGTGGCTGGGAGCCCCGAGCAGTCTCGGGGCTGGTCCTTTTATAGGACCCCTCAGTCCGTTACAGTAGAGCCCGCGCTTTTTCAGCCAGTAAATTTAAAGTATTACAACCAGGTCTGCACGCAGGCAGCCAGTCCTTTTAAAAATAAATCTTACACCTTGACCAATTATTGTTTAGGTGGGGTTCAACAGGGCGAACGTGCCGAGTTGCATACCTCCGGCCCTTGGTATGAGGAAATGACCTCCATCCGAGTCAGCACCTGGGGTTTGTTTCTGCCAGCTGCAGGGTCGGCTAGCAGGATGTGAGCTTATCGATTAACTTGGGTGGTTACTACTTAATTTACCAAAGGGAGAGTATGGGGTAATATAATTTTCTTAGCAAAGCATGTTACAGAAGCCAGAAATTGCTTGGTTAGACATAAAACTCTGTTCCCTTACAAAGGGACTCAGGGCCTGGTTGGTTGGGGAGGGGGTCTTTCAGACTACCACGAATCAGGAGCTCAAGACCCAAGGGAACCTGGGGATCTGGAAAACCCCAGCTCCCAGGCCCTGTTCAGCTCAGCAACAGCATCCCTCAACGCTCACTCCTCCACCCAGTGTTTTCCCAACCACCCTGCTTTAGGAGCATCGTTTTAAATTCTGCAACAGAAGAACAGAAATGCCCAAGATACAACCAGCAGTTGAGAGCTGATTCTGTGAAACCTTCTGTCTGCTCAATTCGGTCAGGTCTGCAGTCACATGATCTTCATCACCTAGCTAGACCTTCACTTCATGTGACAGGAACTAAATGGACTAAAGGTAGGGTCCCTGAGCTAGTGTAGGGGCAGACCGCTAGTCAGCCGGTCAGGAACATCTGGCTACATCCCCTGTGGCCTAAGGATGTTCAAGTATGCACCCCACTTCCTCTAAAAGACTTTGCTGACCCACCTGGATAAATCCCTTTGCCTGTGAGCTCTCAGCTTTGTATTCCTCCCCCTCCTGCCTCTCCTTATCTTTAACATTCTAATATACCACTGCTCAGTTGTAGATTTCTGGTCAAACAGTTTTCCAGGTAAAGAATGAGTTCAGGGCTGGGAAGGTGGCTCAGTGGTAGAGCGCTTGCCTTGTATGCATGAGGCCCTGAGTTCGATTCCTCAGCACCACATAAGCAAAAGGAAAAAAGCACTGTGGCTCAAGTGCTAGAGTGCTAGCCTTGAGCTGAAGAATGAGTTCAAATCCATGAACATGGTCTATATCTCATTCCTTTAATTCCTCTTGTAGTTTTCCATCTGGAGATGTTATACATCTCTGCAAGGTCCGCTCCTGGATGGCAAGCAGACTCCACCCTCCTCGCAGCAAAGGGTCTGCCCAGTACCTGCGTTACCTAGGCAACTGGCACACCTGGAAGAGGTCACATCTGCATCTGGACTCGATGTGGCCACACCTTTCCCCACAACTACCCTAGATAAGGCCTAGCCCAGGGCCAGATGCTTTCTTTCCCAGCCATGTAGAGGACCAACATGGCCTGGTGCCAGGTGGAACGATGCATAAATCTACCCCTTACCTGAATACCGCATGCGCGGTGTGCTTCTTACTCAACCTCCTCTTTACAAACCTAACATAAATGGTTCCGTTTGAACCAGGGAAGGCCTTAAAGTCAGGATAGATGGGATTCCTCTCTGTTGTTTTTTTTCCCCCCGCTTTTTTTGCTCTGAGGAATACCCACAGTTCTGTCAGCCTTTTTGTGAACTGGTCTGTCTTCTGCGGACACAGCGCATCTACCATTTTTCTTAAGTGTGTGCTTAAATGTATCATTTTTTTTAACATTCTCATTCTTCTCACTTTTCACCTCTTTTCTGGTACCATATGGCCTCACTATGGAGTCTAGACAATTGACCTTGGGCGTTAGTTCACTGAACATTGCCGTATCCTAACTCCCTGAGTCAGGTAAGCTCCACCAGCCAGGACCCAAAGCAGGCAACATCTGGGTCTGTTGCCTGTCACCTGGTGAGAACATGACATGTTCTTCCTTGGCTTCCACTCTCGTATTCTCTCAATGGCTTCATCACAAACCACAAGATCAGGCCACAAGGCCAGATGATTACGGAGTAGGAGCCCCTAGGTCAAGAGCAGCTAAAACTGCTGGGGTTCAAGATGGCCATAAAAATGGTTTCTATTAAACCCAAGTCCCTCAAGACGAAGACACAAACAAAACCAAGGGGTACAGTATAAGGAGAAGAAGGCATGAGGCTATCAGGGTAAAGAAAGGGCAGAAAGTGAACTTAACAGACCAACAGACTCCCCCCGCCCCCCCCCCCCCCCCCCCAGGGAACAGCCTGAGAGGGACGCCAGAATCCTCCAGACAGACTGGGAGACAGTGACATGCTCTCTTACAATAAGTCGCAGAAGCAAGTCAGATGTCCAAAGTCTGTCAGAATCGTGTACTTGAGCTGACTTACAACTCATTAATTTTGGAGGTTACAGCTAGCCATACGTTGCTGCTGTAGATGACACTCTGACAATCAGCATTGAGTTTCTCTACAGAAACTTGAGGGCTTCTTTTTCTAAAACACTGACTCTTCACTGAGGCCTGTTGTGTGCACATGAGCATGTGCGTGCGTGCACGCGTGCTCACCCCCACCCCCATATTGTATTATCTCGGTTGTGGTAACCTTTGGCTCAGATTTTATTCAACTGCAAGACACGTTGAGTGTTTGCAAACCCGTTTGTCCAAAACTATATACTACAGGGTTCACCTGGCCGCTGGCCCAAGGCAGCGGGCATGTGTTTCTTCTACCACTCCCTTGTGCTTTTGGTCAGCAGCTCTAGCACTGGAAGTCCCTCAGCCTTATCATAAAGCCGGGCCACTTATCAAGACCGTGACGTCAGCCGCAGAAGGAATTCAGCGGTTTCTGGATTAAGTTGGTTACCACATTAGCCTGCAGACCTCAAGACCAAGGTCAAGATGTTAAAAAAAAAAAAAAAAAAAACCTTTTGAAACCGGTCCATGACCAATGAACGGACAATTACAGGTCACCCAGCCCAGCACATCAATAAAAGTTGTCCTCTGTCGTGGAGAGGGCGGCCTGGCTACCTCTGGTGGGAGCTAGCTCCTTTGTGCCCTCACTCTGACATCTCAAGAAAGCCTGGCTCGCCTCCTTCTCAATGTGTGGCCCAATCTCCTTTCTTCTGTGTCTATGCCACAAGGTCCCATCTGGACAGGGACGGTAGGAAGGAGTGAGTCTGTTCACCTCTGGGTTCGGTGTTGTAGGGCAGGGTGTGGACAGGGCTCAGCTCTGAGGCGGGCTGTGTGCTGCGCAGCGTCCTGCTGGGGGAAGAGATTGTGTGAGGCACAAACGAGACACGGAGCGTCCAGGCTGGATCTTTGAAGGCAACCTGCCTCCTACTAGTCCCCCTTCTGTTTCTGGAAGGTTCTATCATATTGGCATGGGAACAAACCGCATCTAACTCAGAACACCTGGTATCCTAATCATGTTTTAAAAAACAGATTTCCTTGGGTTTTCTGCATACCTTCTCTTGTCATTTGAGAGTAAAGACTCTGTGTGTGTGTGTGTGTGTGTGTGTGTGTGTGTGTGTGTGTGTGTGTGCGTGTATTGGGGCTTGGACTCAGGGCCTGTTGCTCTTGCTTGGGCTTTTTCACTCAACTCAAAGCTGAGACGATATCACTTGAACCACAACTCCATTTCTGGTGTCGGGGGGTGGTTGCTTGGAGATAAGAGTCTCATGGGGACTTTTCTGCATGAGTTGGCTTCAAACCACAATCCTCTGTTCTCTGGCTCCCGAGTAGCTAGCATCACAGGCGTGAGCCACCTGTGCCCAGCTTCTTAGTCTTTATGCCTTTTACTTCAATATTCTCGCTCACAACAGGGGCTCCAGTGCGATGCTGACCAGGGGCCTATCATGCTGACATCCTCACCTTGTTCGCGCTCTAAAAGAAAGAGTGTAATCACTGT